TAAATTATTATTTACGATGAAAAATGTTTTTAAATACTTTATGAGTGAGTGCCTCTTTATAAATTATGAAACCTTAGTAATATATTACCCGTTTGTAAATAAATAAATACATACCAGGTTAGAACATAAGATTTTAACTTAAATTTTTTAGAAATATTGTGTGTTGTATTGATAAATGTACTTAAATACTCACACATTTTAAACCCATTTTAAATCGTAAAATTTAATTATTTTTATGAGGCTAGCAAGTAGGAACTAAGAATAATAAATTATAAATACACTTAAGGAGAAAAAAAATTTTAATTTCACACACCTTTTAATCAACAAGAGTGGCTATAGTAATAAAACGACAATTTGCTAAAATAAAAAATCTGAAAGTTGTATACATATTTTTTGTTTACGACAAATATATGGTAAAATAAAATATAGTATTCTTTTGAATTATATTTTTAAAGATTTTTGGTCATTAAAAATTAAGTCACCAATCATATGTAGATATTATAAACTTATTTAATAATACATAATTTAACGTCATTTCAGTACATATAGGTGTTATGTATTATAGTTTTCTGTTCAGACAAGTTTCACTCATTTCACTCTCTATTTTCAATGAAATACCATGCAATGATGCATGTTTTTATTTTTTATTATTAAAAAATATCATCAATATTCAAGACCTATCCGAAAAAATCAATTGTTGGTATGATTATTTTTTAAAAATAGGTTTTTACAGACATATCACTAAACGCCAGTTAATTCTCAAGAACGATATAAACACAACCGTTGAATCATTATCACAGTGTTATATTTATGAACTTGATACTTTAAACTATACCTGGTCTTGTATAATAATTAATAGTTATACTTCAATATTTATAATTTGATCATAATAACATTTATAATAATAATAAAAATCGTTTATGCTTTATTATACATAAATTATATTTTGTTATTATCAAATATCTATTTGAAGTTTGAAGTAGTTCGAACACTTTTTCATGGTTCTAATCTTTTGTTTAAAACATACATATATGTATAAAATAGTCGTGGAATATCCTATAGTAAATTCGTTTAATTCGATTCGTAAAAGAAAACTTACATTTATTTTATTTTTTTTAGTTCAAAACGTTTATGAATTTAAAAAATGACGTAATATTATTGACTGCTCTAATATCTTGAAGACGTTTAGGATGTTCCGGAACTATATTCTATTGGTTGTTTCGTGGTGGGCACTCGTTGACTCGTATACTGCATTTAATTATAAATAATTGAGTACAAGTATTAATGCATTGTGCACGTATGCATGTATGTGATGCATAATAAACGCATAGTATATGTAATTTTTAAGTACATTCCAGTTGTTGGGCATAACAATAATATGATACGCGTTTCTCGACGTCGTTGAACGCATTAAATAAAAATTATGTAAGTTTACGGTACAAGAAGCATGGTCATATGCTCGAAAATATTATCAGTGGCAAGCGTAGAATTTTGGCAGCGTAAATGCAACCGATACACGCACTACATATGCTAGGTTTTATCCTGAATTCCTGAATATAACTTGGGTATAGATAGGTGTGCGTATTCTTGACACATGCTACGTCAAAATAATAAAAATTGTTAAACTCCACTGTCGCATAAAATTAGGTACTTTATAAATTACGATAAATTCAAACCAAGCATTTTTGGTTTTAATTAAGTTGTTATATCTATGTATATTATTGGTTTCATTTAAATTAATATTATCATATGATATTTTTAGAAAAATTTAACATACTTAACATTGGTTGCAAGTTCTCCCACTCCAAGCGTTTTATAATTAAAATATACAATAATTATGTTTGTTGGATTTTAACGAGCCGTATTAACTTGTTTGGAAATGTGCTGAAGCCTTAAATTTTATTTACTCACATTTTAAAATACTAATATGCTTGTTTAGGTTGACTAAAAAACTATCTACGACGATCATGGAATATGGTAATGTATTATAGTATTAAAATATAAAATAAATACATAAAAAAATAATAATAATAAACAATTAATACCGTGACCCCGGGTGGTTCTCGTTACAACCAATATGTATTCTGTTTAAGAATATAACAACTTGTTTTGATACTGCAGTGCTATTGTGTATAAAATATATCGTGTAATCATTATAAGAACGTTATAATATTATAATACAATAATTACTTTTAATATTTTATGGATTGACTTATTAATTACTTGCTTTTTAATTAGTGTTTGGTCTTACCATTCACGGTGCAAATCATTCGAATATTCAATACTCTGTCTTAACCACACACAAAAAATAGATGTACCTATATTTACAACTTAGGTATCAATTAATTAATATATACGTAAGTATATAATGGTAAAAAAAATAAAATTTAATTAAAATTTTCTTAAAATTAATTTTTTGAAATGTTTGTATTGTTTTGACTATTTTTAAATTTTGTTCAATAATAAGACTTTAATTGTATTTTATAGCTTAGATAAAAATCATATGCACAAAACTGTATAAAATGAGTATCATGAAATGTATGTCGAATTTTATTAATAACTTTTCAAAACCTAATACTTACGAATGACGTTTAAAAAATATTAAATTTAAAACTATATGGAAAATATTAGATATATTATACTATATATGTACAGGGTGATTTACTAAATGAATATGCTCACACCAATTTTTCCTTTAATTATGAATTTCTTCAATTTCTGATTTTTAAAATGTTTAAATACCTATACTTAATAAGACCATATTTACAACTTTTTTTAAATTTTTAATACTATTTAAGGAGTGTTCTGTGGTGTTACAAACATCTGTTTTTATTTTTTTTTTAATGAGAACCCTTCTTTTAATTTATTTTATTCAATGGGTAATTTTTTTGAAAATTTTGATTTACCTAATTCAAAATTCAAACAAATAGTTTCTTAGTTATTCAAATGTTTATATCAAGGATAATACTTAAAAATAGTCTTACAAAATTACAGATTTATAAAAACAGATTTATTATAGAATCTAGTATTAATTATACTTCGATTTTCGTTTTCTTCATATTTAAAATAGTTATAGTATTTTATTTTAAATTAATTTTATAGCACAAATTAATATTATTATGATAATAATACATATCTCGATTTGGTAAATATTAACTTGAATTAATGTAAACAATTAAAAACTAGGTTTCAATTCGGATTAGACTTTTTTTTAAATACATCTTTTGAAATTATCTACTGTAGTATTATGCAGCTGGACAATTACGTAGAAAACTACAATAACCATTGGTATATAACTTTTAATAACCTCTGATCTACAATAAGTACTACCGTTGACACCGGATCATGTCATATTGTTTGATGGCGGTCGTGTTGTATATGGTATAATAATATGCGTACCTATAATATTATAAACTGCAGCAGCTTATTAATATATGACTGTTTAGTATTTCAATTAATACTGATTATTGACTATTAAGTTCGAATCGGGGTCGTGATCTACACAGTTGAAGTTGATACACGACACGTAGGTACCACGAGCATGGTACAGGTGCTATATATAATATAATATCATAATGATAGACTCCATTATTCTCAACTCGAAACAGCCGTCAACATTCGCCCAGTCAGACATACCTATAAAAACGTTTTACATTATCTATAATGTTTCACTTTATTATCTTTATTGTTAATCAAAATAATAACCTCGTATCGGTAGGTACCTAATACCTACGTACATATCTGCAGCTGAGTACTCATAGTTGTTTCATACATTTTCAGTAATATGCACGCTATTTACTAAGTCTTGATAATCGAAAAGCGAATTAACTTTCATATGATTTTATGCGATTTTAATGTTATTATTTTTACATTAATTGTAATATAATAAGACTGGCGTTTTATGGCTTAATAATTTTTCATTAATCATTTCCGTCGATTAACTGATTAAAAATAATTACCTACACAGAAAATAATTATAATATACTATATTAATATACAGAAAAAAAACCATAATCTTATTTCTCATCTTAATGGTTAGGTATGCTTATTATATATTTTCGGTAGTATTTAGGAAGTATTATTATTGTTACAGTGTTAACGATATTTCTGAGGTTATTTTTAAATTTAAATAGTACAATGAATATAAATCTTATGTCATAAAGGTATTATAATTCAAAATGAACCAATTAAAAACATTTTTGCATTTGATTTTTTTTTTTAACATAATAATATTATACATAAATTATTTTCTCTTCGTCGTGTTACGGTGAATGATTAACAGATAAAATTAAATTATAAGTAAACATTTAATCATTAATTATTATGTATGTATATTTACACATTATAAAATACAAACACTCTATACTCGTATGACGTAAAACATTAAATAATGATATTTATCGAAATGTTTCCTAAGGGACATTCGGTCGACACGGAGTGTCTATGTGGCCATTCTAAAATTGTTTTCTTAAAATTTCCACAATTTATTATGTTGTTAGTTTAGAGTTAGATTAGGTTATTATTATTACGTCTCAAATCGATAAATCGTGTATTTTATTCAAATAGAATTCTCACTGTGTACCTACGAGTGTATATGTTATAGAATTGCTTATAAATAAATACTAGTAGTATGATTATTATAGATAAATGTACCTAATTATATTAATAAAACAACTGGGCTAAAAATAAGTAATAACTAAAGCTAACTGTTGATATAATGTGATGTACAATATTATGTAGTATACCTACGTTATTGTTTAATAATGCGTACTCGGGCCCGATATGATCTGAGTAGTCGTCTCACGTACTATAACACTTAAAATATATTTGTACAATGATACGTATATACTAGCTATGTGCCATGTAATAGTACTGTCCATCCTACAGTAGCCACTTCCAGTTTGGTGATCTATACGTAATATAGGCGGCGTATATATTATTATTATTGTCTAACAACTATGTCCGTTATCGTAATCATACATACCTATGGGTTTTTTAGGTCTGCTGCAATTGCGCAACGATGTTTGTGCCTCAGGTTGTTTCAATGCGTGCGTCATTTTTGTCCAAACATTAAAATAATAATATTATTGTTATTTTATTCCATACGCGCGATGAGTTCCTTGTGTACACATCAGCACATCTGTCCAATAAGGCGGGCATTACCTTTTTTTTTCATAGTAAGTTTACTAAACTTCTGACTAGTTAATTTTTTAATTAACCTAAGACCTTAACCAGTTAAAGAATCCTTTAAAAAAATTTTGATTTTTCTAGTTAATTTGAAAAATAAGTCAAGTTAAAAACATAATTTCACATAATATTTATAATGATGTCGTTAAAACGAATAAATAAATGACTACTTATACAATGATTTAAATATAAATAAACAAATATATTATATTATTTATTGATTTAACAATAATGTGTACTATTTACCTAAACCACTTCAGTTAGTATGTATCTAATAAAAAGTATTAATAGTATAGAATATTAGAATGTATGTTTAACAAAATATTTTGTTAGGTAATATTTAAAAAAATATAAAAGTTACATAACAACTATAATATACTACCTAGGTAGTAATTTAAAACATTAATTGCGTCTCTAGAGAATACCAAAAATAATAGTTTTAATGATGGATCCCGTAGAATCTTTACCTATTTCCGGATACAATTGATACATTGTAATAGTACAGCGAGAATATTAAAGAATACCTACCTAGTTATTTATTAATATTGTAATTTCAAATAAATTCAATTTTTGTCGTAAAATATTTCGAGTGTTTATAGCGTTATTATCATATTTGCGTCAAAGATTTTAATAAAAACGAACATAAACATTTTTTTTGAGGTGTTAAGTAGAGGTTACTAGTAAATTGTATTTTATCGTTGATTTGAGCTAACATTAAATATATTAATGTTATAATTGGTTTTCTAATTTCTAAAGTATAAAAATTAGATTATATCGTATAGTAGGTATATCGTATAATATGTTTAATTTGATTAAATGGAAGGGCTTAAAAATAAAAAATTAACAGAGGTCTCTGCAGCAGTCACGGGCGTTTACAAATGTTTATCGCGGCCATCAATATAACACTCATCGAAAAGATTGGCCATTATTATACACAATACGAGTACGTATATCATTATTCATTATAACCACGAATAATGATAATATATTGATAACGATATACGATAGTATAAAATGTAATAATGGTTTTAAAAAAAAAAACGATCGTCTCTATAGATCAAACATAATTGTTTGCGTTGTTATTATTAGAGCATTCGCTTTCACTTTTACTACAGCAGGACAAAATACATATATTATGTTATGTATGGTCGACTTCTGTCCGAATAGTTCGCGGCGTTCAAGTCGTTTTCGATAATTATATTATATTATTATAATCGTATGTATCGTACCACTCTGTAGCAGTGCTGTACACCAAATGATTAAAATATACAGTATTTTGGAATGTTTAAATCACATACTGCATATTATATTACAAATATCATGTACCTATATTATTATTTATAATAATTTAAACTACAACTGTAGTATTACAATTTCTTTAGCGCTCTTAACGGTTTTTCGTGAAATTTTAAATCGATATGAATGTTATATACTGTGCCTAGCAAGTTAGAAATTTAATATTATAACATGTATAGTTGTAATAACTAATAAGCTCAAATCATCTGCAACTGTGCTATAGCGTGTAATATTTTAAATATAGATGAATAATCTTATTTTTTTTAGACGAGATTGGTAGACATCGAAATAGTTTCGCGACACCTGCAGTTCACTGGAGAAAGCAGATCCTCCAAAATTATTAAATTATTTCATTACCGTTAAGCTTAACAAAAAAAAAGAAATAGCGATTCTTGATTATTATTTTGAATAATTATTAAACATATGTCATGTATATTTTCTTGTAATAGTTACATCATTTTTCTTTTCTTTTGTAATAATTTTTTTGAGCGATTGGTGTTGTTGTCGGCTAACCAAGTTTTTTTGATGCCACTAAACATTTTATTATTTCATGCATTTATAATTTATGGATATTTATATAAAAGCACCTATTATGTGTAATGTATAAGTGTATATTTAATTATTAATTTGAAAAAAATATATTTTGTATATTTAATCAATTAAATTATTAAAATGATGTGTCTTAGATATATTATTTTTGAATAGTTTTTAATTTCTAAAATAAACCTGCTTATAATCGTGTATATTTTATCAAGATTTTTAATATATTCATAAATAATAAATTTATTGTACCTAGGTAAATAGTATAGATACAAATTGTTCATTTGTTTTTAGATTTTCCTGTCGTCAGCTAATGGTTTTGTATGTTGTTCGATATCCGTTAAATATATTTTTAATGAAATAGAAAAAACACACGCGAAAGCGACCAATCGGTAAGCCGCACTTCCGGCTGACCTAACCAATCGTGAGCATTAACTCCCAAGTTCCTTGCACAGTTGCGCTGAAGTTGTACACATTCTGTCATAATAATGCACACATCAACAACAGTCGACAATATTATTATTATATTACAACTGCTAGTACTCTAATATAAACACATTTTTCTGTGGTTTTCAAGCATTTTTTTTTTCACTCATTTCCGTCATCTTAGGTTAGATAGGTGCATTATAAATGTGTAAAAAAATACTATGTTGTGTGTGTGTACCCACAATAATCCGCGTGCAGCTTAATACGTAAGCTACAAGTAAACAATCGTTACGTCAACACACGATTATTTATAATACTGCATATCCGAGTGTCTATATTATTATGTGTTCTTATGGCTTATACTACCGGAAGTGGATTTTCGAATAACTCCTACTCATCATCATATGCGTTGAACTACAGCACAATATTGTCTATAACCGAACGTGGTTTAAGATTCGCAAAAAATAACCCGATACTATGTATATTTTCTTTATCGTACGTATCATTATATTATATTACATACATTTACCGCTATCATTGTATACAGTTTGTCTCAGAAGTTCCTTATCTCTTATAGTATCTCTATGAAAAATCAAAATATTTAAATATGAAGTTTTCGCAGCAATTATTAATTACGAGTAGTTAGAAACTTCTAATAATAAATTACAAAAATTTTTTTAAGTATTTAATTTATTCCATTTTTAATATAGTTAACTCTATGATAATGTTTTAGTTATCATCAATTAAAGAAAAACATTTTAATTTTGTGATTATTGATCAAGTTACATGATTATTCCACATAGAAACATATAGTATAGTATAAAGTTAGGTGGTTAATTAATTTTCGAATTTTATAAAAAACTTAATTTTTTTTTTTAGATAATGAGTAAAATAGATCAGGTGAATCAGAGAGTAAAATAAATGTTGACCACATCTTTAAGTTCTAAGAAGTGTAGCTTTAAAATTTAAGTTGTAGCTTTAAAATTATCCATATGTATAATTTATTAATATCGGTGCGTAGTGGCTGGAAGTTTGTTCGATAGATTAATAAGGGGATGAAAAAGGTGTTACAAATTACAATTTTGTGAATGAGTACTACACGGAATAGGTAAGGATCTAATATTTTTAGATAAATTAATTTTTGCCGAGGATTAATTAAAGCATTGTGGTATTTTACTTTACTAACAGATAGATACATACTATTTTTATAATTTTATACGAAGTCTGCAAATACTTAATCTGCTTTAAATTGATTAATTTCCACCTCAATTTAATTTTTATAACTGTTAAAAAATATGATTTAAATAATGATCATCTTGAAAATCTAAAAAGTTAAATTTTATAAACATTTTTTTTGAATTTTCGAAAAAAAAATGTTGAAACTAATGTACCTACTTTAATTAGATTTGTTTTACTTATAACTGTAAAAAACTCACATTTAAATATACTGAATTGTCATGGAGATATTATAGGTGATACGGGATTCATTCTAAAACAAACTATATCATATTATGTATAGTATAATATAATAATATATATTATATATTATTATATATACTCGATATTTTAGATATATATGATATAATAATAAACTTGCTATTGTATAATATATGATATACAGTATACCTTATACCTATTTACATTAAACGGGATGATTCTTTTAACCTCAAAAAGTAAGAATATTTTTAAAGGTTTTCTTACATAATTTTAAGTAAAACTTACAAAACAATATTTTAAAAACACATTACATTTTTTAAGCTTTTTACTTTTAATGATAGTATACATTTTTATTTTATTATTCCTAAGGATAATATAAGTATAATAATCAAATTTCTAACAAATTGCAGTTTTGATGGACGAATTAGAGCTGTATAGGGGTAACGCGCAAAATGTTGGTCCACTCCCTCATCCAAACTTTAAATAGGTACCTACTTATTATTAAAAAAATATTTCTAAAAATGTAATCTACTTTTCGAAAAAAAAATATAGTGTTAACTTTTAAAACAAAATCATCTGGAGTACACCATATTCACTCTTGAGCTACTTTATGTACAGATGAGATATATATGAGATCAATTATTTTTTAAATTTATATATTTTTTCAGAAAAAACATTCGACGATATTCCACAATATGATATATATAATGTACATATTGTATAATGCTTAGATAGATAATCGCAGTTCTGATTTTCCATATGACATTTGATGTTTGATTTACGTATACTATACCTACTATTTTTTTGATACAATATATCAGCTAACTACCTAATAGTTACGATTAACAATTATAATTTATGACTTTTTATTTTTGTCTACAATTGTTTTTAATGATGTTTACAGTTTATATACGTAAAAAGTACAATATTTGTAGACTTTTTAATAGAACAGAAGAAGTTTCATGAGTATTGACATTATTAATTTTTTTTTTTTTACATTGCTCCTTGACACGAGTAGAACAAGTGAGACATAACTATTTATTAATATTATGATGTACCTATCATACGTATATGATGTTCGAGGAGTGTATATTGTTTTATAGGCAAACAGCAGGGCGGGTCTGATTAAATTATAAACTATAAAAACATTCATTTACAATTTAAACGTCGGTTTATTATTATTATTATGAATTTGAAAAAGAAAAGTCATATTATTATTATTAAGTATTAATGGCTTATGAATTTAGTAATATTATTGTTGGTATTCTGCGTGAATGTAGAATTAAACGTTTTTAACACCTATTACGCGTAGGTATATAAAGATAGTATTTTTAGCGAATGTTAATAATATGTAATTATTATATAATTTTCCTAGTCCATGATTCCATGTTATGATCAAATTATTGTATTATGTCAGTGTTAGAATTAAAACCGTAAACGGTATATAGGTACGTTCCTTATTATAACTTATTATAATTACAGGTATAAATGTATGTTTATGTTGAACTTCGTCAAATTTTGTTAAACCACTGCATGTACGATGATACATTCAATTATTAGAAGTTCGTGGTTTTGGTGGTTCATAATAACTTTTTAATAATAATAATTACCAAACCAAAATTTTTGGAAAAAAAAACTTTACGTAATTTAAACATAACACTGTTAGAAGCGAAGGAGAATCACCATCATCCGCTTTGCTCTAAAATGAAACGATAATTAGGCGTTTTATATTTCATAACTTATTATGTTATACAGTTATTATTACAACATGACATCACGCGTGTATGATATTATATACATTACATTTACTATGATGTGCATCTATAGTCTATGCACTATGCACACAACAATAATATAGTCCAGCAATAATTAAATACTTCCATAATATTATATTATATTATTCGATTATCCGGAATAATTATCATTGCAGTTTCATAAATTTTATTAAAAACGTAATTATTTATAATATTATACGGCGTTAATTGTTTATAACATGTGTGGTAGGTATATGTACGACGTACGTGGGTGATGTCTATATTATTATGCTATATTGCTACTGTTAAAGTTTTTAATCTGCTATTTTATAATTGAACGTAAGCATATATAATAATGTAGTAATGATATTTAGTATTTAAATTACAATTAAATAAGAAAGTACTTTATCCGGAAAATGTATACATATAATGTAATAATTAGTTATTCCGTATATTTACAGGATTATAAATTGTTTATAACTTATAAATATATTTACATTATTAATAAATTAAAGTGAACACAAAAATCATTAATGTTTCTACTTGTTATACAAATTATACAAATATGGTCTTACAAAATTAATATTAGATATATTGACAGTAAACCATTATAAAAAATTTCAACATACTAACTAGGTAGTCAATTAATCATAATTTAGTTAATACTGCATAACTACGTCATCCGAAGATTATTCTTTCTAAAACTCCGTTAAATGTAAATGACATAGATTTTTAAAACAGTTATTTGGTTTGTTTTGACCATGTACAGGTTTAAAATAATATCCAATCATGACAATTATTTTATTTCCTGTAATCAATGTCAACAATATTACATAATATACTAAAACATTAAAAACGATAGTTTTTCGTGGTAAACTTTATATTTGACATTTATGCGTTATTGAAAGATAAAAAATAGCCTTGTCACTACAGTCCTTACTGAATCTACTGACGAAAATTTTTTTGAATATGGATTGAAAACTATGGATTTATATAAGAGTCATCCATTTTATGGTTTTGATTTATATAGTAAATATATTCATATTAATTATAGCTAATCTTGTTTGGCTGCATGGAGTTGCCTGTTACAAATTAAATAATACCAACGAATTTATCTTATTTTAAACTGCATTAAAAGTAGGCTACATATATTTTTAACAAATTTATTTAGTTTTGAGTTTTTTACCAAATATAAAACATATAGGTATAAAATTATA